TATAAATTTTATACCAATATATTTTAAATTAATTTTCAATATTTTTAGGTAAATTTTTTCGCAATTCGAAAACCTGACAGTATATCATCGGGCAATCATATGAACGTGAAAAAATTAATTAACCCTGTTAATGATTAAAACTATAAGAAAACATAATAATTATAATAGAATAGACCTCCACATTTTGAAAATCACAATTTTTCATATGTGTCGTATAAAAATATATCCAAGTATTGGGAGATGTAGATTTTTTCTCATTTCCGCTTTTTTATTTAGAGTTTCTTAGTAGTAACCTACGAAATACAAAAGAAATTTTTATAATTTTTGCTCAAATTAATATTGCAAAAGATATTGCGACTTTTTTATCATTTTGATCTATTATCATTTATAAAAACTAAATGGCACCTTTTATAATATTTTATATAACACACCATTTTGTAATAGGGTGGAATTAACCCCTTATTTGGGGTTGAAGTTAATAAGGTTAATAAGGTTAAATGCCAAAAAACATGTCTGTTTCGTTTTCGGTGGGCCACTCTGTATAAATATTAAATATATAAATATATAAATTTTATACCAATATATTTTAAATTAATTTTCAATATTTTAAAGGTAAATTTTTTCGCAATTTCGGCTTTTTATTTAGAGTTATGGGTAGCATTTCACGAGATTTAAAAGAAACTCTTAACATTTGTATACTCCAACCAATATTGCAAGAGATATTATCGTTTTTCGTATGACATTTTGCGAAAACTTGACAGTATATCATCGGGCAATCATATGAACGTGAAAAAATTAATTAACGCTGTTAATAATTAAAACTATAAGAAAACATAATAATTATAATAGAATAGACCTCCACGTTTTGAAAATAACACTTTTTCATATGTGTCGTATAAAGATATATCCAAGTATTGGGAGATGTAGATTTTTTCTCATTTCCGCTTTTTTATTTAGAGTTTCTTAGTAGTAACCTACGAAATACAAAAGAAATTTTTATAATTTTTGCTCAAATTAATATTGCAAAAGATATTGCGACTTTTTTATCATTTTGATCTATTATCATTTATAAAAACTAAATGGCACCTTTTATAATATTTTATATAACACACACACATTTTGTAATATTTTAATAATATGCCGTGAGCAACTCTCATCGAGATATCCACTCTTAAAAAGGCTTATCAAATCGATACTCGCAAGTATTGTTACCTTTTTTCCGCGATGCTGATTGATTATCTCGACGCTGCGCTGTGCATTATTTTATATCAATAAAAGCCTGTCATAACCGAGCGATTTGACAGTTCAAATATTAAGTGTGTGTGTGTAATTTTTATTTAATTTATTTTGAAAAAACGGAGAACTAGAATTAATATGTGTGTATGTGTAAGTAATTATATACACATACATATAAAATAAATGGCGTGCGCTTATAGTATAATAAAATTCTAGTATAATAAAATTCTAGTATAATAAAATTTGCGCACAAATTACCGCGCTGGCACTTAATTGCCTTCCCTCATCTTCGTGTGATACATTCGTAAAAGCCTTTATTGTTTCATTTTAATTTTTAATATAAATTACGTATATATGAGCAATATGTTTTAACATATATGTATCATCAGGTGTCATCAACAACTTTCGTGGAAGGTTCCTCGATCATTATGTTTGCATGTGGCTCAATAGTTCAATTCTACATGTTGTGTTTTTGCGTCCAGCAATTAATGGACGCGGTAAGTTTTGTCGTTTTTCCTTTCTTCATTTCAAATTCAAATTTTTACTACAATATTAATTACCATTCTGTTTTCTGATATAAAAAGTTTATACTCTTTTCTGGCTTTGAATATTCGAAAGATGATTAGGAATAATCAAAACACATATGTTTCATTTTATTATCGAATTTTCACAAATATAAACACTGCACGAAGCGATATTGAACAGAATAATTAATTATATAACTTGTAATTATTTTTCTATGTTTAATATAGAGCAGAAAAATGACGGATAAAGCATTTCACGAAAAATGGTATCAATTTGGACCGTCCGTAAAACGTACATTCATGTTGATAATATTAGGTAATAATTTAGGATGCAAACTTTCCATGTGCGATAAATTTAATCTATCTTTACCCTCATTTATGACGGTAAGACTAAATTTTTTGTAGTTTTGAATGTAACGATATTGTTAAAAACTTATATCATTTTTTATAATCTTCAAATTTTTTAATGGACTTTTAGATTTTAAATCAATCATATTCGATCGCTCTTCTGCTCTTAAGGGTGAAGTGAGCAATAACAAAGGACATGTTTTGTAGACTTTTTAAATATAATATTCTTTGCATCAAATTTTTATTTTTTAATAGAGGTAACAATCAACAAATTTGTGATTAAATAGCGGTTTAAATATATGTAATTTCAAAGCAAGTTTTATTATAGTATAATTTGTGAACTAAAATAGCATGAAGAAAGATAAATAAAAATTATCATTAATGATGACGGCATTACATCACATATTTATATATAAAATCTTAATTTTTTTTTCTCTCTCTTCCTCTCTCCAGTCTCTTAATAATTTTTACATTCAAATAATTTGAAAATCGTCTATTTTTGTCTGAATAAAAAACATTTGCACGACAATGAAATGGATACTTGTTACACTTATATAATACTTTATTAATATTAAAAGTTTCCTCACGATTTTATTCAATAATATTCTAGGTTATAAATCAAGCATACTCAATTATTTTTTTATGTTTAAAAATAATTAAAAAATGACAGGAAGGTACACTGCAAATATGTTAAATAAGATAGCAAAGCTTTACATTGCAAGATAGAAAAATAATAATCAATAAGTTTGAAAATAACTTTTTAAATGTCGCAGAAATTTATAATATTTGTTTCAATAAAAAAGAATATTAAATAGTAGCAATTTAGCTGAAGTTAATGATAATAAAAAAAAAAAACTATCTCCAATGATGATAATGCATTTGACGTGAATTTTTATTATATTGTTAAAAAAAACAAACATATCTGTTGCTATTAAATAAATGATAAAAGTTTAAATGTATAAAACATTGTACTGCACCGATAAATTGTTTTATGTATATGATGTTTATAATATATATATTCAAATTAAGCATCGATATTGAAATAGCAACATGAAGCTTAATCCGATCCCACAATAGTAAAAATATATAGGGAAATTCTTCCTTGATTATTGATTAATTTTGATATTAGAGTCTGGTTCTTATAAGCACATGTAATGATGAGTTTTAAGTAAAACAAACACACAATTTGATTTTTATAAAAATTACTTTATGTTGCATAAAAATATAAATTGATTTGAAATGTATTATATATCATGTTTGTATAATTAAATGGTAAAAGAATAAATATTATTATCTTGATCTATAAAGACTAAAACACACGAATAAGATATAAAACGATGAAATTAATTATAAAAAAAATATCTTATTTATAGTAAACTTTTACATCAGTTCAGTTCATAATCCACATATTTGCTTCTTCATATTCGCATCTTGATAAACTTATGCTAAATATTCCTTATACCATTTATAAACGGCGCTTTTGCGTTCGTGACATAATCAAGAACTTATATATCTACAGTTTATTGTTTAAGTTCTTGAGATCATTATACATGATTTTTTTTTAAATAAAAGTATAACATATTAAAAAGCAAAAACGGTAAATATGTGCTATCCAAGCTTTTAGGTGAAAATTAACGCGATGAAATTTTTCCTCAGTTTTTAATGATATAAAACTGTGGATATAGATCATGTTCAAAAAATATAATTTATACTTTTTGTTACAAATAATTATACTTTTTTTTTAAATAAATATAAACATATTTCCTTTTTTTAATTTAATTTTCTTAGTATATTTATTCTTAAACATAATTTTAATTTAATATGCAGATATTTATTGTTTCGATTCCAGACTTTACGATAGAAACATTATACATTCTTATATGAACAATATATAGCAGATGCGTCATGCTTTCTCTCTTCGAGTTTTACTTCGAACAAATTACTTCAAACATTTTAACATCGAAGAGTTTTTGCAATATTCCATTATTGGATACAATTAATGTGTAACTCTTTTTTTTTATTAACCATAAAAAATTAAATTAAGTAGCTATAATAATATTCATAATCTCCATGAAGATTATTATTAGGATATTCATATATTATGAATATTACAATTACAGTTTGTTTATCTGCCCTACATATGCAGCCAGCAAATTTATATCACAAATAGACCGGAGAACTGCCTTCTTGATCTGGATGATTTCTTACATCGTCCTGCCTTCCGCCACGAATACTTTTGCCGCTTCTGATCGCCCTGACATCCGGTCGCGAAAAATTCTATACTGGTTCCATGATCGTCGCTCTCGCCGTTTTTCAATATGTTTCGCACAGTTGCGCTGTACATACAATCGTTTCGAAGTTGTCGTAGATCATAATACGATGTCTGAAATTATTAATAATAATAAATGAAAAATTAAAATTTTTCATTTTTCGGTTAATTTATATTTATTATTTTGTTTACATACCGGTGATACACATTTATGTAATTCGAAATCAAACTTAATACTTGATTTTGTGCGCTTTTTGCGGAGATAAAAATGATTGCAATAAATGTTTCCTGTGAGAATACAAGACAGAAGAAACTATAAGATCGTTGTACCTGAACTGTTTTCCAAGCAACAAATTTCCGTCGTTCCGAGCCTTTCTCGCGTGAGCACGACTCCTCTTGCCACGTGACATTATATGTGCCGACATCGCCGCTCGTCGGCCAAACTAAACGCGCCTTGACTTCTCCGCACTGACAGTTCATGCGACGCACGTGGAGGCCGGCCTGGGTTCGCTCGCACCTGCGAGAACGTCTCCCGACGTCGGCTTCAATGAAAGGTCACCGCTTTCGTTGGTTATCCCAACTACACTGGACTTAGAAGGGAGACTGAGGGGAGGACTGATGAGCTTATCGCATCGAAGATGAGTCAGTTTGATACCTTACCGTATGCCATATAATCTGTGCTGTTGAAGACCTTGGATGCCTTGCGCGACGTCAGACGCCGTCCACCGTATACCGCCACCGCCTGCACTTGCAGGAAATACTGACACTTGAGCTCCAGATTCTTCAGTTCATAGCATGTCTTGTCCTGAAAAACGCGCACGGAAATTTTAATTACGTCGAAACAACGTAAAGATTATCGGTAAAATTTCGAGCGTTTAGAGTCAAAGTGGATCACGTTCGTAAATCACTTCACGTTTTATGAAGCTTATATCGCTTTAAAATATGAATCTTATAAATTTTATCCGCTCAAACTCTCTATTTAGAACATTTGAACATTTTTATAGAGCGACAATTGATTATTTTCAACCATATATTTTTATTTAATTATTTAACACAATATTAGTCTCTAGGTTTTTTTTTTATCATAAATAAGACGATCATTAAAATAAATTTTTCTGATCCGCTAATAAGCTTACTTTAAGAATCGTCTTGTGGTAGACGAGAATGGAATCGTTCGTTGGCCCATGAATGAGTCTGCTCCAAAAGACTTTGTAGAACGATATCGGCACATCCGATGCCGGTTTAATCCATTGTAGGTTAATTCGCAGCTTCCCACCGACGAGACGCGCATTAGATAAGGTCAAGTTTTGTGGTTCCTTCGGATTTCGCGGCTCTGCAACGATCGAAATGCCGTACTAAGATAATTGCTTTTTAGTGTATAGTATTAATTTAATTTCAAAATTGACAATCTTTTTATAGCGTAAAATAATATTTCTTTTTCATTTCATTCTTTAACTCTTTATTTGTTTGTATAATAGTTACATATCTAAAATATAATAAGAGCAGTAAAAAGAATGAATTGAGAGAGAGAAAGAAAGAAAGAGAGAGAGAGAGAAACTGTCGTTACTATACTATTCATTTAGGGAGAGAAAAAATCTTTTTTTTTTTTTTAATAATCCAAGGAAATAACAATTAAAGGAAATTTTGTACGTCAAGGGAATTTCAAGAAATAAATGATAGATGAAATAATAAAAGAAATGTCCTGGCTTAACTGATGTGGAATGATAACCGCCAGGATATTTGATTTTTATCTGTGACTTTTTAGCTACTTTGAAACAACTTGAACACTTAATCCGGTTTTGCATGATCGGTTGATGCGTTCGTCATACTAATTATCATTTGATTTTTATAGATCGAACCTGTTTGGCATGATTGCGATGGAAACGGAAAATTTATATGAAAATGTATTAACAATCCGTTTGAGAGAGACACCCGCTCAAAATAATAGTTGACACTTTAATTTATATTTATGCTGCTTAATTAATAATTAAATTATTAGACTCGCACATGATTACGATTATCTTTCTTTGTCGAATCCTACAATCGCACTCGCGACCTTTCAATGTTTATTCTCATGTTGGCCATTGATCTGTGAAATTTAATTTGCGTGCGAGAGGCCAACGGTAAGCAATACTTACCGTGGCGATTTGCGCAAGCGATTAACATGACTCTGGAACTTTTCGCTGCGGGTTAATGACCAGAATTCCCAGTTAACAAACAAATACAAACGTATTCACAAGTAAATTTTCTTCGGCGAAGCGTGTCGACCTTGCGTGAGAAACGAGTTGTTCTACGAGTTCGTACAATCAACGATAATAGCTCTAGCCTTCCATAACATCCTTAAATTATTGTTCCCTTGTGTCAATCAATTTACAATGCCGAAATGATTAACGAAGTGTTTTACGAATACTTGATATTGATTTAAACCGTCAATAAAATGTACATTTTTATTTAATGATATATGTATATAATGGCTAATAAATTAGAATGTAAAAATTTACGACATTTAGAAGTTCAATCCGATATTTTTTTTCTGGTAATAATTTCTGGTTTTATATACATATGTACTTCTTATATTATATATTTTTAATATTAGTTATAATGTTATAATATGTATAACTGTATATGGATATAATATATATAATATATTATACTTATATATAAATGCTCTTGGCATTTTCTAAAAATTTTCTCTTCAAGTTATATGTCAGTTTTTTGTAAAGAAACTTATTTTTCTTTCCAAAATAATACTCTTTTATTTCTTAAATTATTCACAAGAATCACTTTTTTCAGTTTGAACGTTTCACTCAATACGATAAACAATTGCGAATAGTTGACTATACAGATTTACTCTTATTGTCTTTAAATATACGTACCTTTTGTTTTAAAGGGTCTGGAGGGTTGCGAATACCCACGCGATCCATTTCCATTGACGGCTGCCACACGGAATTGATACCAGTGTCCCGTCTTTAACCGACCTCGAAGAGTCGCGTGCGGCTTCGTCGATACGTGACAAACGATCCAGGAACTTAGCCTGGACTCCAAATATCTAGGACCGACAAGATGACGCTGCTCCACTAGATACCGAACCGCGTCATTATCGTTCTCGTTGACAGATACATTGCTGACTCCCGGCCTGCCGTTACGCCACGTCAGAAGCACCAGGTTTCTCTTCTGTTGTTGTATCTGTAGATTCTCCGGCACAGCTGGTAGATCTAATTTAAATTAAATATTATGATTCAAATAAGCTCATGGCAGAGGCTTACGGTAAGCGATTTATTAAAATCTAATCTCTAACAATCTATTTCAGCTGCGAAATCTTTGATCAATTTTCTTGTAGCAAAAATATCGACGTAAATCATTATTGTTGCTAATTAAATTTGTCATTTATCATTAATATTTTTATAATTAATTATTAAATTACATATGTTAAAGTGGAGTCCACTTGAAGTAAAAGTTAAAAAATAATAATATAGCATTTTGTATAATTTATATTTTTAAAATTTTGTTTCTTAAAACTTTTGTAGCTTTATAATTTTCATTTATAATGTAAAAATTAGCCAAAGTGCAAATAAGAAAGGAGTCTGATTGACACAAGACGTCTTGTCTCAAGACACTGATTACGCTGTTACATTCACCGTTTCGACTGTCCAGACCGACAGGATGCATGCACGTGATACCGCAATCGTGGGAGCAACACTTGGCCAAATCCGGACAACGGGAGTCATCGACGCAGGCGACCAAGCAGGCGGCTTCGAAGGGCGTCATTGACGTTCTCTCGGGGCAATAACCGGGTTTCGTATAATTCGACGCCAGGCAATTTTCCACGCACTACAACACAATGATAAAACACGAGAAAAGATTTATGAAATTTAACATTTATTTTTAATATATTTTTTGGCTTCTTATCATTAGGAGAAATATACTAGTAAACAAAATGAACATTTTTATATATAAATATAATCATTGTTTCAAAATCACTTGATGGTTAAATATGCAATAATATTAATACACCAATATTCAATTACTAATTGAATTGAACTAATTGAATTAATTGAATTGAACAATATTCAATTACTAATATTTAATAATTGGTATTCATATAGTTAGGAAAACATATTTCATGAAAAAATATTTCTCTGTTCTCTTGTAGAAGAAAATTATACACGTTAGATTCGTATGTTTTGACTACTTTGCGACATCCGGAGATCGTCGAAATCTAATGACAAACACTTATCAAATTAGCAACGCTTATAATTAATTAAACATGTTTGTCTTGTAATACGCGTAGCAGCGATAAGTGATCCAGTTTTTGCATCACGCAACATGACGATATTTTCATCGCCATCTTCATCACCGGAAGTGTAAGTCGAGATGCGGATGCAATGTCGATGGTGCAGTGTAAAAACGTTTACGACGCGAAAGAAGCTGCTGCTTGAGTTCTCATCCTTACGCTTTAATACTAATAAATGCACTCTGCTATGAATTGAGAGCTATCAATATTTTTATATTGACGATTTAATAAGAAAAGAATTGAAGTTAAAATCGATTCAATAATTATAAATCTATCGCAGTTATAAAATTTGAAGCAGTCAACAAAATTGGTGTATTGTAATTCTATTACAATGCTGAAATATTTTTAAGACAAAAAATATTATGAATTTTAAGATTCTGCGATTTAAAAATATTTGAAAAATTTTGTAAAAATTTTATCCCGTCTAAATCATTATAAGTCTAAAAATGTTACTTTTCCAATCTCGTACCATCATTTGGTTCAATGGTTCGTGTAAAAGGCTGTTACTTCACCGCTCATTCCGCGGGCGTGTTTATCAAGGTCGACTCGAACTTCACCGCATGCCGTCTTAATCGGAGCACTTTTGATCTGCTCCATTCGCGATCCGATCCAATCCCGTCGATACCGAAAAAGATACGGTCAATTGCCGGAAAAAAATAAAAATACAACAAATTGCCGCCGATATCGAGTTCTCCCGCGATTGAGAGCTTCCCTGCCATTTTTGTGAAAGCCAATCCTCGCTACATAGTTACGAAACTGCCGCTTCTCGATTCCGTTCCGATGCGAAATGCGAGTTCGGGTCCTTTAAACGATCCCCGAGGCATATTCCTGATCGTCAGGATGAAGGTGCCTATTCATATATATTTCAACTTAATGCGCGTTCGAATTGGCGCGCGCTGCCGTGTTTTTATCCCGTCATTATTTTCGTACAATGTAGACGCGAGAGAGAACCGGCCCGATGAAGTCGATCGAAAAAATTCAACATATCAGATAAGCACCGACGGCGCAGTAAGATGCATGATTATAAGCGTATATGGAGCCTCGCAAAGTACGAGTTAAGTTTAATAGCGCGAGACTCGGGGCAAATTTTCAAAGTCTTGTTATAAAGTAATCGTGTACCGTATCAAATTTTCAAATCGCGACACACTTTGTTAGCTTCTAAATACACGTGCCGACGTTGCCGAAGATAGAATCGTTAATCGTTGTTTATTATCAAAACGCAATACACGTTTTGCGCTTCATTTCGCAGAGCCATGTCGGATGCTGGTCGTTTTATGATCTGCTGTCGTGACACGCGCGCATGTAACTATCGATGGCCCATAAAGAATCTCTCTATGCAGGGAAACGCGTTATTCTCGCTGCAAATGAGCGTACTTGACGAGAATGTTACGTGACATCTTACGCCATCAAATTTTGTGACATGTAATCAACACATTATTGATGGTCATTTTAGACAACCAATAAAACTAATTCTATATGACTTCTCACAGCATATCACATATATTACGTTTGTTAACCTAAATAAGCAAATAATAAATTCTAAGAAATAAGATTTCGAGTAAATGCTATAAAATAGCATGCGAAAGATTTATAACACCGTATAAATAACTTCTTTATAATTCACATGCAAATAAAATATAGCCTAAGTACTGTTTAAATACATTAAAAAAGGGCGATATTGTCAATGATAACCATATGGTTTATTATGGTTTATTTATTGCACTTTGCGTTAATGTAATATAAGCAAAAGATTTTGTGTAAAGATGGAAAAAAAGAGAAACGCGTACATCATATATTTAAAAAAATAACTAAGAAAGTAAAATGACAAAAAATTTATATGAAATGTCAAAAATTTTAACAGTGTCATTTAAAATTTAAAGCATGAAAAATATTATGTAATTATTCGAGAAAAAATAGAAGAAGAACTTTTTTCATCTTTCATTTTTTCCCTTTGAAACGATCCGTTTTAGTCATGATTAGTACTATGACATATACGTTGTGATATTAAGTATCCTAGAAATTTAGAGGACAACCTACACAGCTGAGTCCTGCCGCGGGACCGATGAGATTTTCAATCGCGGACCCTTCCCGGAGGAGGCGCAGAAGAAGCTTTTCTGCGGCCTAACAACGAGAGCGTGTACTTGTTATCACGCTGCTGCGACCGCGATATATATCATTGCAACAGTCGGGGAAACTGGTTCACTTACTTATTGGCCTACTTTTTACAGAGGAAAGCGAGCACTTCGAGCCGAGCCGAGCTTAGCGGAATAGAACGGATCCGCGACGTCCTCGTCGATCGACGAGAGTGCTCACTCGAGGCCATTGACCAGCTCAATAAAGTTCACCGATTTTCACGAGGATCGCATCTCGTCTGTAGCATCGCGCTCGACATTGTTCGTGAAATCATACGTACTCATGATACTTTTGTATTACAGAATCTACTCTCTTTTCCTGGGAGATTCCCCCGAACTAGCTTCCGAGAATTTGCGCCGGACGTTCCGCAGAATAAAATTGCGCGTTTGCAATCCAAGAGATTACGTTTACAATTTTGTTTTAAAAAGACACAATTTTTTCTTCTATTCTCTACACCAAAAAAAAAAACTAAAAGAACATTTGATTAAACATTCTCAAAAGTATTTCGACAAATTTTGTGTCCAGGAAATTCTTTAAAAAAAATTAGATAAAAAAAATATTAGATACATAAACACATTGTTTTTTTATATACATATGTATATGTACGGTATTTTATTTAATGTATCACTTGTCATTTACAAATTAACTACCAAATATGATACTAGACAAAACTCTAAGATAAATCCAATTATACTAATATCTTAGATAATTTTAGTAGATAATTTTGTAGCAAACTAATATTTTAGATGAGATTTTAGAATCATGCATTATGCATATATTTACGACGTACATGGTAATACATAATACCTTTCTTTCTCTCTCGATTACACTTTCCGCAAAAATGCAAACGCATGCTATTAATAACACAGATTAATAACTCTGCTTCCGCATTTCATTAATGGTCGAGATTTGTTGCAAGTTAAACAGAAATATTACATCTCAGTATCTTTGTGGACTTTATTGCTATTTATCATCAAGTTGTCTTACATCAAACACTGCATAATTTTGAGAAAAGAAAAGTATCTAATTTTGAATATTAAAAATGTACTGTAATTTTAGAGTTTTCTTATAATTTTTCTTATATCTTTTCAATATTATAACACGATTTTAATTTATCTTTAAGATCTCGGTTCTTTTTGTAAATTATTTTATAAGCAAGAGTGTAAATTATGTAAAATTTTAGATACAGAACATTGCAACAGAACGGATAAAATTATAAAATACGTAATACTTTGGAGTTATCATAGATCTCTATATATCGCAGATCTCTATATATAGATCTCTGTGTATGCAATAATACTGCAAGAAAGTTTAATTTAAAGGTTCTATTTATCATTGACAGGAATTCCATTCTCTAGTAAAGTAACGCCTGCGTGTGATTAGGTGATATCAGATAATATAAAGAGCAACAAAGAAGGCGTACTATTATGCAGGCTGCTACGTAATAAATACCATTGATATTGTTACGAAATAGGACACTGGTTATTTTTCAAGGATTACTATATCATTCCACTATATTCGTAATTTATATATATAAATCAATAAGATAAAACAGTGAATATCACACGTTTTTTTACTCACTCTTAATTATAATCGATAATATTACAAAAAGATTATTTTCTAAAATAAATTCCTAATAAATTTTATCTTTGACTTCTTTATTATCTTTTCTTTTAATTGTAACGCATTTACTGTAAGCATTTTTTAAATAGATATTTCTACATTTTTACATCTGTACGAATAGCCTGGATAATAGATGAAAATTAAAATTTATATATAGATATATATATATATAAATTAAGCTTTGTGGAAGAAACAGATATTAATGTGAAAATCATTTTTGGACACAAAATTCAAGTTTTAAATATAGAATACAATCTAAAAAGCTGAAGGTATCCCGTCGCAATTTTCTCTGCCACGCTTTTTTCGATACGCATTAAAAGAAGTAAGTGAACGATCGACTGTTTCGCAATGCTCGCATCGCGAGTGATAATCGCCTTCAGGACATAAAAGGGTGAAAAGAGCAAACCGAAGTGAGCGAACAGCGAGATCTGATGAAGCGTCGTCACGATCGAAGAATTAACTTCGCCGATGCACGCCGAGATCATCGAGTGATATCCGAGGCGATCGCGCGGATCAAAGTATACAAGAAGGCTAATGAAGTTCACCAGATCTTGCTCTTCTCTCTCTCTCTCTCTCTTTCTCTCTCTCTTGCCCTTCACATCGATCGAGCCAAAAACGCGCAAGGGTCGATCTGTTCCAGTCGAGAGCTTCTTCGTGAAGATCGAAGCGCGCGGCCGTCGTGAAGTGATCGCAAAGATTAGGGTATGGCAGGAGACTAATGTAGTCCGCTGCAAAGATCGGCGATAATGTCGATCGACAATACTGAAAAATCATGCAAGCC